CATCATTTTGAGTCGGTATGATGAGATTTTGTTGTCGTTCGATAGTTTATTTGCATTTTTCAATGGTTTTTGATTAGCGATTGCTYGATTTGTCGATTTGGGTAAMTTTTAGCGATATGCATCTKMCAAACATATGAAATAATTGTTTTATAAGGTTTTTTTAAAGTCTTTGTAAGGATTTTATAGAGATTTTGTTTATGGACACAAATTTTAAGGCAATTTTTGTTCTTCATATGAGTCTCGTTAGATTTGTTTATGGAATATCTGTGGACAAAAATAAATTTATTAAGGTTTTTAACAGTTTTTAAAGAGTTATTATTATATATAATTGACATGTGTTTTCAACAATTTTTCAGATGTATCAGAGTCAGACAGACGATGAAATCATGAAAAGGCAAAAACAGGTTTACAAACCTGGTTTTGAACCTGACGATAATAAAACGGCGCAGCAACATGCAAAATCTTCTCACACAACTTGCAAAAACGGTAGGTCAATCCCAAAATCTTCTCACACAACTTGCAAAACCCAGTAAAACTAATATCTTCATCGACCAAGCTAAGAGATGCTCCCCTTTCAACAMCGAACATAAACTCCCACTGACTGTTATCCGTAATCTTCCAGATTCCACACAAAGAATACAACTCAAACATTACGCCATGTTTTAGAAAATAAGGACGATTTATAAAACATTAAGGGCAATTTATAAGATTTTTTAAAGGTTTATAAACATGATTATAACATGATTATAAACAATTTATAAGATTTTTTAAAGGTTTATAAACATGATTGTCAATCACAGAGAAACGATTTATAACTTAATTGTTAATCAATTAAGRTTGCTCAACGCCKTGTAATGTTAATCTCATATGTTTATAAACATTTTTTAAYATTTTTTTAAGGTTTATAAAACATGATTYTAAATCAAAGAGAAACGAGAAACAGGTTATTATCTTAATTGTAACTCAGCGGATCCGATCACAAAGAATCCCGACTCGGCAACAGAGGTGGTTTTCGAATCAGCGACAACGAATTCAGACTTCAACAGCAATTTTTCCAGAAAATCTGAGTTTCAGATACGAATC